TAATTTTCATTTTATTTTTTGCAGTACCTTTTGCCATGTGAACATAAAGAAACTTAATGAATCTTTGGATGCTCTGAAAGTATATGTTATCTGCCTTCAAATATTCATTGCTTACAATAAGAATGCATGTTTTATTAATTAAATTGTCTTTGTGTAAGTTGAATGCTTAGTAGATATGGATAGATATGCTTGCCTACCCCATTGGTATTTTGATAATTGTTTGATAGGTCAGCCTCCACCAGTTACTTTTACTGGGAAAAGTGCAGTTACACATACAGCAGGTCAGATCATACCTTCCCTTATATTTCTGTTAGTCATCAAGATATACCACAGATTTTATAGATCACTTGGGCTTTGCTACCCAGTGACAGTTGTCTTTTGCATCCATCCTAAACAAGCTCCAAAAATATTCAAATCAAGCTTCATAAACAAGCAGTTTCATCCAAAAGAATTATAGCTTGGTATTTGTCCCAAATCGGAAATGATGCCCAATCAGTGCCCAAGCATCCCTACAAGTATGGCAAACCTGATCTGACCTTGCCAGTAGAAAAAGTCTATGAACTCTGAATTGGAGATTCTGGCCTGATGGGACCCTAAGTCCTAATGCCTGTTAATATTTGTGTTCAACAATGAAAAACTTTTAAAGTTCTCTTTCTGTCAAACAATAAATTCCTACAGTACATGTGCATGTTTTATGTTTTACATGAAAATAAAAATTCAGGCAAAAAAGGGTGTATACCTACATTCCCTGTTGTGATTATATAAGAAAATTAAAGGAACAGGAAATATTTTTCATACTATATATGTACAAAACACATATATATATATAGGTTCATGTATGACATGACATTTTTGGGAAAATAAATGTATTTATTTGTTAAATTTTCTTGGTCTGGTTTCTATAGCGTTATGTAATTGTTGAAGATTTGGTTAGGAGAAAACTCGATAGTATGATCCCATTATCAAACACAGAGTAATTTAAAACCCATTCTGACATTTTATTGTGTGGTTTTGAAATGTGTTTTAGTTGCATGCAATTTCAGTGAGTTTCTGTTTTGTTTTTTACATCTTACTTAGCCTAAAGCTTAAATTATACAGAATAAAGAAGCCATTTTTTAAGAGTGTATTCAGATGAAGGAAGACTTGATTTTTTGACCACTTAAAAAATAAGAAAATTATTTATTTAACAAGCTCAAAAATAAATAACTGTCTCATTGATGTTATATCATTAATTGCTCATAGAGCACAATATTACATGGAGCAAGTCTACCCTTTGTCTTAATACATCTTGAATTCTCTCAGATTTTTGCACCCATACATCTTTTGAACAACAGAATAGTTTTATTGTATACTCATCTGATTTGGAATTGAGAATTGTTTTAAAGCTTTGTTCTGCACTGGAGTTTTTGAAAGGGATGTCCTCTGGATGTGTTATTACGCTTCTTTTTAAGGGAACATGCAATAAGAAAAAAGGACTGGTCATGAAAAGTAAAACCTCTAAAGAGTAATGTGTACATAAAAAGAAGCTGGTTATAACCCTTTCACAAACTCTGTCTCTGTACTCCATATTCAAAAAAGTATTTTTAACACACATTAGTCTGACCTTTATGCCAATAAAATTAAAAAGAGGTAAGATATACTGGGGTTAAGTTTCTAGATTCATCTCTAGTTTTAGGGCATAGATTTAAGAAACAAGCTTAATTAAACAGGCTTCAACAAAATTCTATATCTGGTCTTCATCTCGTATCATGTACTAACGTTTTGGAAGGTGTTTTCACTAGGTTCATATTCTGAGGTGGCATTTCTAGTAGTCAAATGAACGAATATATCTGTTCTTTAGTGTAGTTTATAGCATGATGTGTTGTTTACTGTTTGAGTGCTAAAGATATCTTGTAAACGGATTGCCTTGGGAATGTGTCATTTGCAGCAAGTCATTAAAATATATATCTCAGACTACAAAATTAGCTGTATTTAAGGTTTATATGATAGTGTTAACCTGTGTTTTAAAACAGAACTTTGCCTACCATCTACTATAATTTTATAACTTATGCTTGTTTTAGAGAGATGGAGGTTATGATAATGAGCTTGGGTGGTATGGGCTACTTAAAATATATTGTCCTTCAGCATGTTGAGTGGGCAACAGTACTAACTGTGGTGTAGAAATCAAATCTTTTTAATATGCCTTGAGGATTCCGGGATTTAGGACTCCTGTTAGAATTACTTAACCTTATTGTAAAGTGTACTGTAGATTTAGAGTAGCATTCAGAAGAGCTAAGCTGAGGCTTGGGAGAAAGGGATATTTAACAGGTTTGCACATCCAACTGCTGTTAATAGCATTTTGATATTGGAGAGACAAATGAGGTCTTAGTTAAGTCCATTACATGTACAAGAAACAACTAAAAGCTGTGCATTCCTAGAAACAAGAAGGTAAACAAGAAGGTTCGTTGATACATATACTCTACTGTTGTATCAGAATTAAAGGTTATATCCCAGGGGCATTCCTAGTGCTGTATATAGTGCTTCCCTTCAAACACAATTCTTTACCTACACACTTACAGATTATTTAGTTTTTTTGATGAGAGAAAAAAACTTCACGATGCAGTCTTAATGAAAAGTTTGTGAGGTGTAATTTGACAAAGATTTCATAGATCTGTATGATGTGTATAAAATCTGAATCGTGGGAGATTTGAATGATTTTAATGACTGTATCTATAGTGACCTTTATAGTTTAATAGATCTTTTAATACCTTCTACTGCCTATATCTCAATAGCTGTTTTTATTATTGTAATTCTATGTGTTTATTACATGTTATTTACTGGTGAAGTTCAAGTAGAATATGTGAAAGTGTACATTTACGGTATCTTGTGTAAGTGGGAATGTTTCTGATCATTTATCTTTTCTGTGTGGTTTGAATAATTTATTATTTGCTTCCAAGCAGTGTACCAGAAAATATTAGTGTGACATTTGCTGGAGGAATAAAAGCTTTGAGCCTGGTTAGGAAAAGCAGTTTTCCAAGTGTTCTCCGAGGTTACTTATGGTGGAGATCAATTTGTGTTTGACTGTTTCAAAGGGACCTTAAAAGCAATGTCAGTTAAATAACAGATGTGATTAAATATGAAATGTCCATAGTATTTAGGATAAACAGCAGGTACTAGGGTTCTCGGAACGTGTTTCATGTTCTGTACTCATGTAACCTTTGTGCTTGAAACCTTAATAAACAGTGATCAGTTACATAAAGAAAATTGGAACATACTCCTGAGTCTGTTTAAACTTTGTTGAAAGTATTACTACTTTGTAAAGATATTCTGAGTATAAAGTTAGGATTATAAAGTGGTAACATCACTAATTGTGACAGACACCAATTCACAAATTAAAGAAAGAGTATGAATACATATAACTCCATTGTTTAGAATATTAAATGGTTTTTCAAGTGAGTTAATTAAGTTTAAATTTACATTTTGTTTAACTGATCTATGAAAGAAGTGATAAACCTCAAGTTACTAGTTGCACTGTGAAAAAACTCAGTGTGTTGTTTGGTGTCCCTGAGTCCTAGAAATCGTTAATGTCCTGTAGTCTATGTCCTAGTTCAATGCAGAGCTTTTGTCTCATATTTCTCACTGTCTGTTGGGAGGATTAAACACAACAGAGATCAGACACCTATCTAGACTATCGGGATTTACTGCAACATGGCTTTTTTATAAATTGCACTCCCACTTTTGCAATAATAAAAGACTCTTTAGAAAAAACATCATACAGAATAACCCAGTTTCTTCCACATAACGCTGGGCAATTCAGATCTTTCATCTAAAAATGTATAGCGTTACATCAAAGACAAAAAGCCTCTACCTCCAGCATTAACTAAGGAAAACAAATCAACAAAATAAAAATAGAAATCACATTTTTATATGAAACATAAAGCGATATGTAACTCTATCTTACAGTGTAGAGCATTTTTAAGTGTTTTTTTAACACAACTGCTGTTTACAGACAAACTGTTTCATATTATATTAAAAATATAATGGGTGGGTAGTATTAGAAGCTAATTTTTATTAAGTTTTAAATGACTTATAAATAGTGGATAAATATCTCACTATTTATTTCCAAGCCAAGAGTATCCTATGAACAGTTTAACAGTTTAAGTTTTTAAGTGAGAGTTCTAGTCTTGTCAAAATCTAAAGACTGTGCCCTTCAGAAAACAAATGAGAAGTACTGATGCAGAGCACAGCATCATGAGTGATTCCATAGCACACACAAATCAACGCAAGCAACTTCCTAAGTCAATGCACTAAATTTAGCACCTATCAGTACTCAGTAGTAAGCCTAATAGTAAGCTTTTTGACAGTTTCTTGAGGTCTGATGAGTAAACCGTTTCCAAAGTACATAGACTGGTAAAATAGCAAAAGTGCTATTGAAAAACCGTCGAGCATAATGGGGATTCTATTATGGTGAGGGCTTGTTTAATTTATTCACGAAATTGAATCTTTTGCAAGATTAATGGAAACTTAAATATTGCAGTAAGTGCTGGGACTTATTTCATGCAACAAATTCATACATTACAGCCCATTGGGAGACAAATTAAAAGTGATGGACATCAGAATCTTTGCTTCCAGCTGAAGTAAAAAGAAAACTTTTCACAGCACCGTTGCTTGACTTCAGCATATACTGTATTAAATTAAGAATTAGACTTAGTTTACAACAATTTTGTGTTTAAATATGTTTTTCAATTATTTTTTCAAGAAAGAATCCCTTAATTGATTTTTGAGAATTATGCTGTACCTTACTTGTCTTTTCTGTACATAAAGTAAAAAACATTTATAGAGTAATGGGAATGTCCCTTCAAGGTATACTTTTAAAACAAAATTGCTAAATGTTTACAATATTTAAATGTGGAAAGGTAAGCCAATGAACAAAGTAAAGTCAGAAAATTATTCTGGAGAAACTGAAATGTTGGAGTGTGAAAAAAACTTGCAAAACCATGTCTTTTTGATTTTTGATTTAGGACAATAATGGGTCCACATGGAATAAACCGTGCAGTGCAGCGCATCGAGTTTTCAGATTGTAAGAAAGGGTTAGGTGAGTTTCCTGACGTGACCCATGAGCTTTTGTGCTCTTAATACTATTGTCCTTTGTGCCTCCTTTTGTTTTCTAATGCCTCCTCTCACACAGGTGTTAAAGTCATCGGAGGATATAAGGAGATAACAGGCGAAGAATATGGCATATATATCAAAAGGATTCTTCCAGGTGGTGTGGCTGCTCTGGATGGTATGTATTGTCGAAAGAAAAATGAAAGCACAAACCTCTTCAATCAGAGGTCCAGATGTTTTTAAACAGTCACAGCTGTATTTGTCAATCTGACTGTCTATTTAGAGCCTTCAATCTGTCACATTACAATGTTCATGACAGTCTGTTTGTTTTTGCAGGAAGACTTAAGCCAGGTGACCTTATTTTGGACGTCAATAATATGAGTTTGGGAGGCGTAACCAATGAAAGGTTTTTATATATTTTTTCTACTTATTGTTCTTACTTCATCTACTAATTTTAGAATCCATCAGAAGTATAATTAGAAATTACAATGACCCCAAAATGTGTTCTTCGCAGTCCCTTTTTTTGCATTAGTAATTTGTTTGCAAAAGAAATGCTGATTTTAATAACTTGTATAGCATTTTTGATTTTGCATTTAGGGTGGTCTTTGCAGTACTTCAATTTGGGTCACCACTTCTCCAAAAACCAATACAATCAAGTCTGGGTTTTCACTTCTAACTTGCTGCAGCACAGTATCAAACCCAAATGTTTAATGAAGGAAATAAAACACATACTTGTGTTTCACCCCGCAGGGCAGTCGACATCCTGCGCACAGCTTCGGCATCCAACCACATGTCCCTCTTGATCGCAAGGGATGATGAATCTCGGTAAGGAAGTGCTACCACATTTATTATAAAAATCCCTTGAAAGAAATATTTCAAATGAGACCATGAATTTAGAATGGGAACTCTAAAATAATCTTGCCTCATCAGCGAAATTCTAATTCAAGTAGGACAATTTCATTGTTTCATCTTTCACAATCCTGACTCTGATACCCTTTTGAACTGTTCCTGTGATGGAGCCATTGTGTCTTGTACCGGAGTAAAAATCTGTGGTGTTTGACTGCAGAAGCGGTGGCCTTTTGCACACTACTGTTGTTTTTTGGATGATCTGTAGATGAAGTGCAATTGGATGCTTGGATCAGAAGAAAAAAACATCTTGAATGCAAATTTTTTTAAGGTTCAAGCCAGGCAGTTTTCCCCCAGACTAGAAGTGATTACTTTTAACATCACAATATTGCCAATAACAGTAGCTGGACAACATTTAAACTCTGTTCTACTGTAGTTCAGTTACAAAACTGAATTTAGATTAACAAAACAGTCGCAAATGCTTTCAGTTGAAAATATTCCTTCATATTCCATTTTTTAGTCTTCTTTGAGCACTTCAATGTGGCTAAAAATATTCCAAAAGATCTGTTCTGTTGTTTTCTTAATTTTGTCCATCGTGCTTCAGGGCTAAACGCTTGGTTGGTAGGCGCATGTCTTTAACGAGTGCTATCCTTAAATTACCAGCTAATCTTTTTCTAAGTCTGATAAGTGATTAAGGTCTTGATTTTGTCTGATAGTGCTAAAAATGGATAATAATATTAATACAAGTGATTGATCTGGACATGTGATTATAGCACTTTGCTCTTCCCCTTTTCACTTGTCAAATAATAGTTAATGCAGTTTTTGTTCTACATAAATATTATGTCGTGTGCTCCTGGACCCAGTCTAGTGCTCTTCATGCCCACATATCAAGCTCTCAGTCATTACATTTTCTCAAGTGACACAATGTACCTACCTGTGCTCAGAGTCCTATGAGGCTGCAAATTGTATAATCTTTTTTTAAATAGCTGAAGAGATTTTAGCATAGCACAAAATTTAAATGGCTGGTACAATTTCCAAATTGCACTGTTAAAAAACATAAAACACTTAAGCTTCTGAATGTAACAGAATACAAATTACAGACCATTTGTTCTCAGTGAGTTAGTACACTAGATGTTTTATAATTGTCTGTTTAGAGATTTTAAAGTATTTAAAGTTTTTATGCTACACTGACAGAATGTTAATTTCAATGAAATCCTGTTATCTACTTCCAGTTATGGTTCCAAACTGGCAGTAAGTCAAACTTCTCTGGCCAAAAAAGAAAACCCATATTTCCCCACAAAAATATTATGTTATATAAGTGTTTCTTAAAATTGTGACACACTTTCAATCTAAATGTAGAGGGGCTAAGATTTTGTTATCTTTAACAAGACTTGTATATAATGCCATTATCCTGTATTATTAATTACTGCACAATGCAAAGAAAGGTTTAACCTGCTGTAGGACATATATTTCATGACGTATATATAGAAATTTACCTTATACAGTACTTCTAGCTGTATTCTATTTTTATCTTTAAAAAAAACTTCTATTTGTGGAGTGAATTCAGAAACAGGGATTACATTTTTTCAATAAAGATGTGACCCAGCCAAGGGAAAAAATAGTTAAGTACAAGTTGTATTATTTGCGTTTGTCATTGGTACAAGTTTTTTATTTGCCACTCTTCTGAACCAGAATGTTTTTCAGTTGAACTCTTAAACTTGACTATAATAACAGAAAGCTGTGCAGTTAACAGGACTTATAGGTCAACTGCTGACACTATAATTCTATATTTAGCCGAGATGTCAAATGTGCACAATTGTGTCTGACCGACATAAACTGAAATGACACACTGCAGTCCCCTGTGCATTTCAATAGAAAAAAACTAGCTGGCTTACTTTTGAGGCGGCTGCTTTTATGGGGAATACACATTGACATTTTCAGGGCACAGGTCTATTAACAACTTACCTATAGGGAAGTATATTTTCCTTAGAGGAAAAAGCAAAACTTTCCTTCTCATCCCTAAAAAAGAGCATTCCACTTTGGAATGTTATCTGTGTTATCCATAGCATTCCAGAATTTTCAGTAGAATGTTCAGGACTGGACCTCATATTCAGTACCATAATCTTACAATTCTGAATTAATTTACAAATGATATACTATTATAATCACAATTTTACAAAGAACAATACTATTAAAAGAAAACATGTTGATAGATGAATTCAGATTTAAACTAAATGACATTTAACGTTTTTATGTGTTTTATAATCTGTACATACTGTATGCTTTAGTTTTTTCCGTACATAAAATAGTTATAACTGTACAGAAAATGTAATTTTTGTCATACAATTTTGAACAGTCTTAGGGAGCCATTAAACTAATTATTTTATCCTGGTCTATTGTTTTGAAAGAATGTTCTTTTTGAATGGAATTGAAGGAGCAGAAATCTTTTTTCTTATGTTGTGGTATCTCAGTCTGTATTTCTGAAGACTGAAACTTAGGTATAGTTACCAGTGTAATCTAATTATTTTTAATCTGTTTTTCCAGGACTAGCAAAGGAGTGATGTTTAATGGGATGTCCTTGTTTGGTTGTCACTAATAATTACTTTTGAATTTAGTGTTGATTTTCATCATTGTGTAAAATAAATATTTAGAAAAGTATGGATATTAGCATCAAGTTAGTATATTGCTTAATTTAGCCAATTTTATTCACATACAAGCAGATATTGTCTTGTGCATAGATGATGTTGAAAAAGGCCACAAGACCTTTCACATCTGAATTCTGACAAAACTGAAATTGTGCTATTGGCACTCCGCAGATGTGTCAGTGGTCTTAAAATGTGTTGATAGTCTTAGAGCAAGGCTCCTGGTGCCATATTTGATGCATTTGAAGCCAATGTTCTCAATGTGATGAGGTTGACATTTTTCATTTTCATATAAATTCTGACATTACTCTCACAATCTGATGCAGAAAAGTTAATACATGTCTTTGTCCTTTCCAGGCCTGGTTATTGTAATGCACTGTTGGCTTGTGGATCCAAACACGTTCTTAACAAGTAGCTTCATGTTGAGAACTCAGCTGCTCAGATCTTAACTAGATAAAAAATGGATGAGCATGTATCATATGTTTTAGCTTCCTTGCACTCGCTCCCTGTGGATTTCAGAATATAATTCAAATTAAGCATCCTCATCCTTAAGGGCTTGAATAGTTTGGCTCCTGCCAGTAACAGTGAATGGTTAACTCCCTTTCCGTCTTCACATCATTTGCTCTCTTTGGTCTCTGGCCACTGGCTTTCAGTTCTCAAAGTAATGCTCTAAACACCTGGAGACAATTAATCCTGTTCTGTTGCTCCAGGACTGTGTAATAATCTTTCACCCCAAATTTAATTTTATAAGTCAGTCAACACTCCCAACTAGTGTTTTAAAACTCATTTTTATATTCAAGCTTTTAAATCTGTTTAATGTATTGTATTAATTTGTAGAGACCTTATTTGATTTGTATAGCTGATTTGTTTACTGTAAATGCCCTGAGATTACATTTTGTTGAAAGCACTGAATAAAATTAAGGTGATCATCATTAAAATCTCAGGTTTGTGATGTACATTTGCAAACATCCACCAGATGGAGACAAAACATTAGTTTTGTTCACAGGAGCGTGCAGCTGATCACTAAAGGACGCTTCAATTTTGGCGAGATCTATCTTTTAATTTTGTCAATTGGAAAAAAGGAGTACTTACTATCAAACATATCCTGTGTCCTCACATTACCTTTTAAGAGTAAATGTAATTTGTTTCTTTTTATAGAATATAATTTATGCCCAGTCACTAATTTTACGAAGCTGAACTCATTCAGCTGATAATATAAACATATTAAATACTGTATGATGATTTGTTAAAATGTTCACATGACACTTTTACTTAATTAAATGTGTTAAAGTCTGAAGTAATTTCACCTGTCTGATTAACAATTTATTTTAAATTGGAAACCTTTCAACCAGCACTTTGTAGCTACAGTATAACCCATATTTCTAGCTTTTGTGAAATAAACACATTTTGGAAAACTGAAATGAAACAGTGCAGTGTTAATGTTCTGTAGTATCCAGTGAGTGAGTCTGTATTAACCCCTCTCTCTCAGTGCAGTGTTAATGTACTGTAGTGTCAAGGGAGTGGGTCTGTATTAACCCCTCTCTCTCAATGCAGTGTTAATGTGAAGATGAATGGCAATATACAGTACAAACTTTAGGTATTTCTTTAGAACAAGTCTTGGTGACCTTCGAAGCATTCTTGGACATATTGTTATGTTAAATTGGTTACTGAAAAGGCACTGTTGTGTCACTGTTGTGATCAGAATTCGGTGAAACGCATCAATATAATTAATCTTTGTTCTGTTTCAGGAGAGAATTCAAACAACTAATGGAGAAGTATGGCTCTAGCAATAGTACAGGCTCTGACCGAAGTTCCCCAACCCCTCTAGCTCCTGGTGGGTTTCTTACACTTCATTTCATATTAGACACAATTACAAAAGTCCTCACTTAAGTAGTAAATAAATAACAGAATTCTGTATGTTTATATTACATAGTTTAAAAAGCTGTCTCCACTGTGTTTTATTGATCTCTCCTATAAGCTTAATTTAAATTACTGCACAATATAAATTGATTTTCTATTTTTTTTCACAAGAACGCAGAAATTGTAGAACTTCTACTTTATTTAACAGATATAGCAAAGGTGTGATTTAGCTGGCTTTTTTCCATTATAACAAAAATATCCAGTTATATAAAGAATTGGATTTTAAAAGGGAATACGATAAAGACTAAAATATCAAACAGACTGCAAAACACATCCACACAGACACCGGCAGAACCTGTAACCTCCAAACTGGAGCCACTTACACCTCTAACCCAAAACTGTGCCATCCCAGTCTGACATATCAGTAATGGAAATCTTGATTTTGTTTGGATTTCATTTCTGTATCTAGTGTGTTTTCTGAAGTGCGCTATGTAGGATGCATATATTGTTTATACAGTAAGTTGTATTAAAATATTATTTATAGCCGAAAAAGCACAGTTTCAAATTCAAGTCATTTTTTAAACTTGGAGTTGACAATCATTTTTTTATACCCACCCAGTATAGACTAGCTACTGTAGGTGTGAGTGTTTCAAACCTCTCCTCACAGCTATGAACCCCACAACAGGTGAGAATTAAAAAGATAAAGGCACACCTCCAACTTGTCCACCTTTGAGGTATTTGCTTTCACACACATCACTGGGAACACAGCCCCATACTGGAAGTCAGGGGTCGACTGGACCAAAAGCACTTCCCTCACCAACAGCATCGCTTGCCTCCCGGCTGCCTGCAGGGTCACTGTGTCGCTGAGAGGCATGAGAGCACTGGCCGTCAAATAGATACTCGTAATTTTGATGTGCCAGGGAGGCACCAAACCTGCTTGATCCCTGTAGCCTGGGATACTGTGTCAGAAGAAGGAGCTTGATTCAGCACCTTGTCTTGTCTGCTGTAACTTATATTGGCAGGGTTTCAAGTACATTATAACCATTAGTAGAATAAATTCTATATTTATGTATTAATAAGAATAAATATCAAAGACTGCGTCCTGAAGCGGAAAAAAAAACATGGAACAACAGACATTTGGCTTTTTTAACATTTGACGGAACATGACAAATTATTTTTTTGACAAAAATATACTGTTAGATCCATTCCACCACAGAGGCCAAGAGTAATTCTAAACAGGTCTGCCCTTCTGGTTTTCAGGAAAGGTGATTGAAACTGCATCATCATCATCATCATCTAGATCCACCAGCCCCCAGCTCTTAAGTCCAAAGGACATAGTCACAAGCTATTCTGGCAGCTATGCTGCCCCTGCAGCACCGCAAGCAATGACGTAAGTTTTGGGATAAATAAAAAGGTATCTTGTTATGTGTTAAAAGCAAGTTTACTATGAGTTTACTATGAGATTTCAATTAAAATGAAACATTGGTTTATTTGTTTTTTTTATACAATCTGTCATAATCAAATGCAGTTATTCATTTGCAAAGGTCCATATACTGTACAGTACAATACTGTCATTAAGGTACTGCAGAAAACAAACTAAAATCTCATTCTAATGAGATTGTATTGACTAGACTTTGACATTTCTGAATATGAAAATAGCAAACAGATGAATAAATATAGATGAATTAGAGCTCTATTTGAAAAAAAATATATTTTGACCTCAATTAACATCCCATGCTGTAACCTTAATAAGTGATGCCCAAAACTTGCCTCTCTTATTTGTGTTCAAATACTTTCAGGATTTACCTGTGTGTTATTTATTGCTATTTAAATAGTTTAAGCCCTCATTTAATAGATTTTATAGATTATGAATAGATATCAGACAGAAGGCCAGAAGGATTAGTCCTGGTCCAGGGTGATTGCATTGATACATAATTTACTTGCTGTATAGGTGTAGGAATTCATGAAAACCTCCCACACATGAGATTATGCAAACATCAGCTCAGGGTCAGCAAGAAAATCGGAAGCCCATTGCACCGTTTTTTAATCGAGCTGCAAATATCCTCTACCCTGATGACCTTTAATTCTGCTGTCTCTTCATGCAGTGACAGTGCAATTCAGTTGATATGTGTTGCCAAGGGAACAGGTCTGGGCCTGAACATCAAGGGAGGAGCAAACCGAGCTGAAGGGCCTATGGTTTACATCCAGGATATCGTACCAGGTGGTGATTGCCACAAGGTGATTATCTGAGTCCAGCTTTACTTTTCATTCTCTGTTTATGGTGCTGCTGAAAATCAGCTGTTTTATTTCCGTTCATCAGGAGGGCATGAAACACAGAACAAAAATATAGTCTCTGTTTGCCAAATTTTTGCAGGTAGGGCAATGATTCTAGTGCTCTCCATTCCTGCTGAAACAATTGTGTTGTATCTTTAGTCACTTACTGTTTTAAAAGCTGTGCTCACTGATCCTTCTGCCTTAAATTTAGATTTAACAAAAAAAAAGATAAATATATAATAATTCTCATTTTCAGTGATGCCCAGACCAGAAAGGCAGCAGGTAATGAACATGACAAAAAATGTCAGTAGAAAAAAGGCTGTGCAATTCAAAGAATCAAAGAAAAGTAAATGTAATAAATAACTAAGCTAGAATTAACAAGCAATAATTACAATACGGGGTCTAGTTCAAATGATTTTCAAAGGTGATCCATTATAAGATGTAGTACAGTATATGTATTTAAAGTAAGAAAGCAAAGATGAACAGCTGGTTCAGGATCTTTATGGGTCACATTTTGCTCCTTGTATTCATGGCTTGACTCTGATTCAATACTGGGGAAATTCAGGATACCACTTTCCTGGTTTTGGCCTTATTTATTGTGTTTTGTAACTATTTTATTTATATATTTTCATATAGAACCACTTGGAGCCACTGAGTAAAACATTATTGACAATATTACTACTCTAGAATATGTTATGGCCAGTTATTTAAAAACATACAGGATATTTTAATCAACGAGACAAAATAGACTTATTTTGCAAGATGTGGGATTAACGTTTGGCACAAATTATCATGCTAATGTAGTAATTGATTAAAATCGAAGTGCATGCAAAAGTACTGTATTTTGGTAGCTCTTTATACAGTGGAGAAAAACCCTACCAAAAAATATTGGATAATACACCTTTATTATTGTCATTTCTTTTGAGTCCTTCAAGGATGTCAAATACTGACATTGCAAATTCATCAAGTGTAATTAGGTACTGTTTGTTAACCAGCACTTACAGTCTTTCACAATATTGAACATTGATTTATCCTAGTGTGCTAAACTGTGCTTATCTGAAAAATATTTATCCTAGTTGTGTTAATTATGATTTTTAATGAATTAAGTAATCTAAAATATAGTGTATGTTGAAGACATCTTTTTCACCTTCTAGAATAACTGTATGTTCAATTACAAAGCAGACTTTTAATATCTGGCTGATAAGCTCATCAAAATGATAAACCTTTCCCTAATGTTTCATTTCTGTCAGTCCTAGGAACTGTGTGTGAGATCTGACTAGGTTAGTGCTAGGTTAACTAATGTTTATAGTCCAAATGCTCAGAGCCTTCTGACAGTCCACTGACAAGACATAAAGACTCACATATCAGCAGACCTACTGAAACATAAACTGAAAATATGCATTAGTTTATTTTTGCTAACAAAAAGTAAACAGAAGGGCAGACTGCCTCAATAACATGATCCACAAAACCCCCCTAGATGCATCATATTTCACATATTTTAGATATGTCAGTACAGCTGACTACAGCCATCAAAATTAAGTATATAGTCCATCAACTAATAAACCCAAATATAACATAGCTCTCTTAGCATTTAAATTGGGTTTCAGAAAGAATAACCACTGATGACTAATTTATGCTTTTAAAAGCTTTTTAAAGCTGCACACAACTGTGTGTACTCCAGTAATCACATCCATACTGTAGGTTTGGAAGTGGCTTTAGGAACCACGTTATTTGCTGAAATTGATTTCCTACCTAGAGACAGTATTCTAAAATTAAATTATGCTCTGGAAAGCCTGTTAAGCCACACTAGCCACTGAAGGAAGGATTTGGCTTTAATTCTTTTTCTTGAAGAGTTACCGCTGAAGCTGGAGTTATCTTTTAAATCTAGACTTTGCAGAATTGCCTGTCTAATCTGTGTAAATTAACCTGTTTTAGCTCCTCATTAAGGAGAGAGCTGGTGTTTTTTTACTGTGTTAAGCTGAAAGCAGATGTAAAGGTAGTCCTTCTATTGATTTTTCTGAGGCTTTTCACAGTGTTGCTTTGTAAATAATATCACTTTTAAAGATAAATGAAAACATTGGATATATGTTTAAACTTAAGAACATAATTAAATTAATATTTCAATCATATTTTTATACTCTAGGTATCAGAATATCAGAGGTTTTTGGATGATTTTCTTACATTAAATACTACAGAAATGCCTGCGATCTGTTAATATTTGTAGTTTGCTTGTTCTGATTCACTTTTTGTCAAGATGGAAGGTTTTTTTTACAAAATATAAATATAAAAAACACTAATATTTTATTGTACTAGAAATGATCATTGCATAATAGCACTTGACTATTTCTTGGGTGAGAAAAACAATGGATGGTAACTGAATAATGTGTCTCTTTTTAAAAAAAAATACTTTCCTTAAATAGGATGGAAGACTTAAACCAGGAGACCACCTAGTATCAATCAATAAAGAATCTTTAATAGGAGTTACATATGAGGAAGCAAAAAGCATGTTAACCCGGACAAAACTAAGGTATGTTTTTTTATTTAATGGCAAAGCTACAATCATTTGCACTTCATTTGAGCAAAAGCATACAAATGACAACACAGTATAACTATTTTGGAGGGAATATATTATTTCAAACTGGTTTTATCACCAGTTAATATCAACAACTTCCACATGCTTTCAAGGCCGACTCAAATTTAGATGTAAGGTTATGTTATATAGTTATTACGGTAAAAAAGCTCTCAAAATTGATCAGTTAGTTCCTTTGATTTCCCAGTATTTAACAGTTATAAAGGTCTGACTGTTGGAACTCTAAAGAAACTGCAGATTGCCCTTTCCTGATTACTGTATTTAAATAAAATCTACATATACATTTTGTTATGGAATATGCACGTTAATATAAGGTATGAGTAGAGACTGAGAAGTTAAGGATGAGGATGTTTTTGTAGGTACTTGTCATAATCAGGGCATTTAAAATAATGAAACACTCCAGTCAGAGAAAGAGTAACACAGTCCAGACTTTTTATTATATCACAGCTGTTTATTCCAGTCTTTGAGTGGCAAATTTACTGCACTATAATATATATCTCGGTTTTCATATCTGAAATAACTTTTTGCTTAACAGCACCATGACTGGAGAATTTCCATTTTATAGTCTTAAGAGGAAACATAAAAAAGTTAAAAGTCCTAAAAACACAGCCCTGCCCAGATGTTTTTCTGCTATGTCATTTTTCCAGCGTGAAAATCATGTATTTGCTTCTGTAAGTAACTATAAAACTGCTTATTTAGTTCATGGTTTTGCGAAGGGGAGTTAAGCTGAACATTTATAACAGAATAAATCACTCTCAACTGAGTGACAAAGCAGCTCGTTGTACACTACAGTTGTTAAGTTTCATTCAATGTTTATTACTTTCTTATTAAAACACACGGATAGTGGGATCTTCAGAAATGGCTAAAGTGTCTTCCTGGCAGGAATTTGGACTGATAAGGGCACAAGAAGTGGCTTTGTATAAAGCATACAAGCATATAATGTGGTGTGCTTTTTTTAGTGCAGTCAATTAATCAGCAGCTAATCAATGTTCATTGAGTGGGCTGGAAGTTGTGTGACATTTGTCCTTAGTTAAAAAAAAAACTTTGATCCCCCTACTCTAGAAGAGGCAGTAAAAAAGTATATTTTAACAAACAAAAAAATGCTCTTTTTTCAGTGCATCTGTCATACTGATTCAGATGTGCTAAATGCTTGTTTACCAGACTCTGTTCTTCCAGTGTTTATGAGTCCTTTTCAAACCCCTAGTCCATTGCACAGTCCGGCGCTCCTACACAGCAGACTTTACTGAGATGTTGTTAGCAGAACCATCTGGTGTATACAGAAGGGAAAATGCTTAGTGTTTTCAGACCTGCTTGATATTATTACATTACATTGCTAGTCATCTCAACTGTTCATCATGTTTTCTGCCTTTTCTTTTAAAAAAATCATAAAATAAATATAAACATTTACTTTTCTTCTGTTGCTCTCTACATTTAAAATAAAATAAAATGCTTTTTACATTAAAATAGTGCAAGATTGATTTTATTTCGGATTGAAGACAGCCAAAAATACAAAAGGCTAAAGGGAAGGTTTCAGCACTTTTACCTCTAATGCAAAATAAATCCTACACTTAAGAGTTCCTTCTTAGATTTGCACCTTTAACACTTTACGCTTAGTTCCTCATAGAAGATTTGGCCTCTGGAGAGAAGTTCTTGAAAATATATTGCAGTACTATTTTTTTTTACTGTATATCTACTGTCATGACAACTATTATTTCTTATAATTTATTTTAAAGATATAAGTTATGTTCAGTTATTTGACAAAACCTTTGGAATTTATAATATACAGTACATGTCTGAAGTAGCTTTTTCTTTTACCAAATGGATCAGGAATTCTTTCATATGTGCATATTATGAAATGAACAATGGTTTCTTTATATTCAGGGAATCAAAACACCTTTGAGATTTCTGCAGTTTTTTGTTCTATTATATACAGTACTCACATAAATATACATGCTATGCCTTGTGTATATGGTTTCTGTCTTCAAGAATTGATGCTACACCAGAGTCCTCTCTGCTTAATTGATGCTACACCAAAGTCCTCTCTGCATTAAAGATATCCTCACAATAGGGTTGTTAACCCCAGTATCCTGGTTCCACTTAGAACTCACAGAGTGTGTTCTCTCTAATGTTTCCCCTTCAAACAGTTTCTCAATTCTCTACCTAATCTGCTGTATACTGGTGTCTCTGCACCCCAGGTGAGGGCTGCACTGAAAAGTGCTGTACTGAAAAGTACTGTATAAATCTGAGTGATCATTTTTATTGATGCTGTGGTGCGATTACAGATTGCATGAGAAACGTCAGCCCCGTTTTTTCCATCAGGAAGAGGCACATTTGATATTAATAACAGTAGAACACTTGTGAATACTACATAAGTTACTTCTCATGGGAAACCGAGGTATCAGATGATTTGAAGAGCTTTTTGTGTGGTTTTATTAAAAGGCTAGAAGCTCACAGATTCCACTAAATCTATTCTTTCTTACTACAGGCCAAACCCCACGGTGGAAATTGCTTTTATTCGTAGAAGGTCCTCCTCTGGTTCTGGCAGCGGCCCTCAGAGCCCCATCACCCTGCAGCCTTCAGTGAATGGGAACAGCCACTTATTGAGGCCCACAGGGTTGGGAATACTCTCTCCCCCAGTGAACCTTATTCCAAAGATGTCGTCCACCCCTAACACAGGAAGTGAGACCTTGCCTTCTGTGAAACTAGGCCAAGTAAGACAACGGATGCCTGGGCTCAGAATGCTGAAAGAAATGCTTAGGCTTGGTTCTTTTCTCACACGTCAAATTGCACACAGGCTAAAAAGCCAGAATTCTGACTAAGTCTTACTTCTTAAATGATTCCTAAAATGATGTGGAATTTTCCGTTGACCTTCATAAGTACTGTAGTAATTCCTTGATGAATACTAACGGTCTTTAAATGTATTCTTAATGATTTTGCAATTCAATACTGTATTCTCTTAAGGCTAACTTTTTGATTTTGTTTATCTGTGCAGAGCATGGATTGCTTTTTTTTTCAAAATCTTTATTCAGCTTGTAGAAATATGAAAGTGCTCCCATGTAATAGAGCCTATACAGAGTTCTCTCAGAGGGTATTTTGAGTAAGGACTCAGTAATTAACTGTGACCAGGCCTCTTCAAGTGATACTGTACAGTTGCCCAAGTACTGCTGTGGATGGTTGAGCTTGAGTTGGCTAGTGTGTCTTTGGTTTGTCGTAGCAACCACTGTGACCTTGTCATTGTCATCAGTGAGAGCTTCTTTGTAAATTCAAACGAGGCTAACTTTTTTGTAAATTACTAGGGAGTTCTCGGTCCTTCAGTGTCAGTGGTGTACAAGGCAGGTTAGTTAACAATTGTCAGTTCCAGACTTAGAAGGTATAAAAATAATGGCAATTTCATTTTTTTTAAAAGCAAGATTAATATTTTTCACCTTTTAGTAGAAAAAGATGATTGTATTAATAAGTTAAACTGTGCTTTATTTTCATTTGTGAACATGTTGAGGTTAATTCCATTGAAAAGAAAAAAACATCCATCTTTTAGTATGGATTTTTCTTAAATATTTTGCGATATCTTTTTTGTAGATGGTAATAAATTGAATCAGTGTGCTTTTGTTAGGCTTGATGATGCCTCTTTTAACACAAAGTAACAATAAGAGGTTGAGACAGATGTTTCTTGCTTCTGAGAATTGTTTTTTTTTTTTATTCCAGAGCCGAATTGTTCCTGCAAAGAAAGATCAGTCTCCTGTTATCTCGGCAGACTGTAATCCCTCAGTTGACCCCAGTACAGGTACTGTATTGTATTATTTTTTATTCGCTCATTGCAGCATTTGGACATTTCAATTCCAGCTAAGGCAGGGAAATTTTAAAGAAAGGGTATATTGTAAAATATAGTTCAAAATAAATGTTGATCCTAAGACTTTTGGAACAACACCTTCCAAATGCCAACACTAAATTCGCATTTGTTACCTTCACTTAGGTATGTAGCTTTCAGACTGTAGAGTTCTATTTGTACGTGTTTAATATTTTTACAATTAAAGACTCAGATATTGGAGGTTCCCCAGTGGTTCAGTCAGTTAATTATTTGCTTCCAGTGTGGATTGAGTTTTACGACCCAGATGTAACAGTTTAAAAATGCGTTGTGTCTCTGGCTTACTGTGACCAGAGTTTCCCATGTGGCAGTGCACAAGTGGCACCTTCGGGGTAGGCTTGTAATTAGTCAATCAGGGCTCTCTCAGCTCCCAGCAAAGCAATGATCTGTATGACTTAGTAAGCAGCTGCATCCAACAAAATAAGTATATATAGTATATAGATAATAAGTATATAACCCATTGAATAGTAAACACAAATATAGCACCCCAATCATGCATGCTAACAGTGAGGAGTGTGCCTCTACTCCTCTAATCAACACAGATGGTCTGCAGTCACCGCAAAGCATGCAAAAAGGTGATGGACTCAATGAAAGGATGGATTGGAATTTGCCACTTTTACTTGTCCTACCCATGTGGGCATAAGGGCCATCACTATGTATGAAAAAGGAAAGACTCAATTACCTATTCCCAGTTGGGAGTGTACATAATAAAGAAATAATTGATTATTCTGAATTTGTAATTGTCACGCCCTCTGCAG